AACCCATAGTTTACGCATGGCACGACGAGTTTGCGCAATTCGGACGTGAGCTGTTCGTGAACTATTCGTGGCAGTTCGTGACAGTCGTGGCATGGCGCGCACTGCCACGCACTGGCACGCATCCTCCCGACGAGTTCACGGCGAGGTCACGAACAGTTTGCGCATAGTTCACGACCAAAATTTTGAATATTTCAAAGTTCTCGTCCCGACAAGGCACGCAGTTACGACGGGTTTACGCACACTTCACGCCAGTTTACGACTAGTTTGCGCACTGGCACTCGAGTCGTGCCAATGCGTGCCACAGAATCGTGCGAGTGTCAGGGTAGCTTATACTGTTAGTCGTTGGAATGGAAATACTTCATTACTTATTGACTGCCTCGTAATTATGGTGCAGTGGTTAATTGATAATCATTGTCACAAATTTTCATTCTTCACCTGACAGATGAGGAAAATAAAACATGAATAATTCTATAGCAAACTCTAGTGAATGCACGTTTAGAACACAGGAGCAAGTGCAATATAAAAACGACCTTCCCTGAAAATATATACAGCCTACTTACTCGTCTTGGTACAGTGGGTCTACATATATAGTAAGGAAGTATGAACCAACCAGAAATCCAAGCGTAGGACCAAACACGGAGCATGTACTCATAATAGCTGTTGAATTATACACAATATATTTGGTTATTTTTTTTCCCGAGTCTTCCAAAATATGACTTACTACAGCCGGGTTTGATACTATTTTTTTCATATACATGGTGCATAAAAAAACGAGTTGTAATAAAAAAATATATTCCCTATAACAATGTGTGTTTCGCATGTAAGTACAATCTTTCAAAAACAACTTTTTATAGGCTTATATTTTGTGTACGTTTACACTTTAAGCTGACGCATTCAATGCAACGGTACAGCACACTCCGAATTTCATATATGAGAGTTGTAACACGTACCAAACCACGTGTTTTAAGCTCACACTTTCTCTTAATGTTTGTTTTATATATTGATGGAGGGTGTGTTTACCTAAGTACCAGGCCGATCTTCTGTGCGAAGCATTCTCATCGGCAAATGCGAATCCAACTGTATATATAGGTGATGCACCTATTCCATGAAGCACTTGAGCAAATACGAAGACGAAAAAATAATATGACAGGTCTCCCCATTCCTCTTCCTTGCAGTCACTTATTATTTGTGAAGTGTTTCTACCAGGCACACAGAGAGTGTCCTCGTCCCCATACGCAGCATCGTAATCGTACAAACCAGTAGTGAAGTGCGGGATAGCCCACGTTAAGGATCCACACCCCATGATCACAGCACCAATGCCAAGTACTCTGGGTTTATTCCTCGTGGCACCGAAGTACGAGACGAATACAATGAGCAACGTGACTGTCAAGTCATATGTTGCCACGATAATACCTATCGCCAAACTGCTGAGTCCGAATCGAATCTCAATGCTCGATAAACTCATGTACACAATCCCAATAATGGCAAATCCCTGTACAAACATGAGAGATGACAGTATCCCCGCTAACCAGTTAGACGTCCTGAATCGTTGCATCCACGTCGGTCGCAGGCTGCACCACCCACATAGAAATGAATTTAACTCAGTGTCGGTTTTACTTATTTCCGATGAAACAGAGCCACGGTGGTCATTTTCAATGTCCCTGTTATCAACATTGTCGTCTTCGTTCCCATCAGAATCCCTTCTCGTCACCCCAGTCTCAGCCATTGTTGAGGATGATCTAAATAAAGTTAACGTGAATTATATATATGGTGATTGAATATGCGGTTTGTTGTCTATAAACCCCGTTCATCTTCAAATTTAAGACAGGTATTTGAAAAAAAACGAATGTCTGAATAATCGTATTTTTTTCTTATGATAAATCTGTTTAAAATTCAAACCTGGTACGTTAATGAAGACGATTCTGAACAATAGAAAATATCCTATACTGATTATTTAATATATTTACCAAAATATTACTTTTCATTTTCAACTTACAATCTTCTTTATATGACCCTTTACAAAATATGGCAGCTTGTATAGTCATGTGGAATATATCAAGGGCCGGTCAATATAATGATGGACCTTGCTTCAAAGATGACGAGCGGCGGCTTTTACCACAGCCATTTTATTTACGTATTGATTTAATTTTGAGAATTTCATAGACATAAGATATTGAATGTTTATTCTAAAACAATTGGAAAATGATTTGGAATTCCTGAGTTAGTAGATTGCAAATTTGATCGTTTTTTGTTGTTTTTTTCATATTCTCGGTTTTTACTTTAAATTTGTATATTAATTGGAAAATTGTTGATAGTTCCAGATAGGTAAAAAGCGTACATGGTATTAAGTACAGTATATTTGCAACCTCATTTTTTCGAATTCCTCCAGCCCCGACTTTGATTTAGCAATATGCAATGCCGATATCTTTGACGGATTGCCGCTTTGAATTGACTTCAAATAAGCAATTATGCTACCAATGCATCCCAGAAGTAGTAAACATAGTGACGGTTCCGAAACATCTATAGTTTTTAATCGCATTAGGCTGACATAACAAAAATCGGCGTTCACGTTCGGTGATCATTTATGTAAAAGATCTACGGCGCTTTGGAATGTATTGAACAGGCGCTCACTAATTACGATAACTGCGTTAGTTTTGTAGCCTTTCGAGGCTGCGAAATGGACACATGTGATAAACAGGATATTAAATCAGTGATCATGCAGTATCAGATTAATTAAACTCGTGCAGTAATTTAATGAAAATAACTACACTCGTTTAATAAGTCTAGTAGTGGAAGTTCACTGATGAAATATCTTTGATTATTATATTTTGCGAAAGTGAAAAACGGAACCGGAAAACAAAAACTCGTTTAATAAGTCTAGTAGTGGAAGTTCACTGATGAAATATCCTTGATTATTATATTTTGCGAAAGTGAAAAACGGAACCGGAAAACAAAATGTTTAAATTATCCTAAAACGAGACGAGCAACCATACCCAACGATACAAACATGCCAATGAATAAATAAAAAAATATATCTTGCACTTGGTAAAAAAAACACAACACTTGGAAACTTCTATCTAAATCAACAATCAATTATGCAATACTTTTGGAACAAACTAACTTTTATTTGGTACTCGCGACATTAAGTGATATAGTTGGATACAAAATACTATGATTGCAGTAATTTCTTAGTTCAAATTTAGTGTGGAGTTCAAGTTTAAATCCTGGTTTGTTCATGGAAAAAAAACACGATGTATTGAATCACAGAATAAAGTATTTAATAATAACAATTATCGACATGGACATAATGGTTACTAAGCCAGATAAACTGTAGGCATTACAAACACTTGTCAGAAATGCATGGCAAGAAGGAGGTTGTTGAGGACTGCGTACTCTTTATTCAAGTAACGTAATTGTAAAGAGATGGCATGGACGAATTACGAAATATAATTTCAGTGTCTGACTACTTACACATTTATTTAATAACTACTAGTATTTATATTTATTTATTTGTTATTAATAAGTGTGATTTTATATTCGTTTAATAAACATATATGGCTCCTTTTGGTTGTTTTTTGCTTGTAAGGGTCATTTTAACATTTCGCTTTCTGTTTCTTTTCCGGTTTAGGAAAGTACAATAAGTATATCTGGTAGCACGAGCTGTATGCAGTATTTGCCACCTCTATTGTTTAATCTGATACGGCGCGAACACAAAGCATATTTATATTCTGTATTGGTTTTAGGTACGAAACATCACAACCACGCTTTGCGCCCCAACAATGAATAATTAACTAGGGTTAATTATGTTTTGAAACCTACCAAACGGTGACAGCGTTGCTTGGCAACACAGATATACTTCCCTATCTAGTCAAAGATTAACTCGGGAGTCACTATAAAACCATGCATTTACTGGTTAAAACCACTCATTTATATGATCATATGAAAGCAACTTCTTTAGACACAATAACAACGGCGTAACATCTAAAGGAGATACTGCGTCGACAGACTGGTTTTGTATAGTTCGTTTGCACTTTTAAAAACAACAGCGGATAAACACAGTTCATTCGTGTCATATGGGCATGTCATTTGTTGGAATGACTCGCTGTGTACTTGGGCACTTCCTCGTTGTTCATCAATCTCCAGACAATCAAAAACACTCGTAAATTATGATTAGTAGTAGTAGAATGTAACAAACCTGCAATATCGCAGACAGATCAGAGATACCAACGGTGTATATTCAGTGTCACCAATGGCTATGGTTCAGTTGAGGTCGCGACGTGGGTGTCCATGGTCAAAGGTTATTTTTGAAGAATCGCTGCTATATACCCAACGTACATCTCGTACATTTCATGTCACCTAAAGCTTCTCAACTTTTTTCTACGGTAATCATAGCCATAAAATAGAAATACTGTGTTTGATTACACGAGTCCCTTGTGACGTATAGTACAACGCATGTGAAAACTGTTTTTAGAACTAAATTGGAACGTGCTTCAATGACTGAAAGGCTTTGGTCAGACTTAAACTACTTCCGAAGAGATCGATTTGTCATAATCCCTCTCTAATTAGCAAAGAGGTTAGCTATTGTGATATTCAAAAAAGGATATTTTAACGAGTACAAATAAACCCGTCATTTGAATTCAAACCAAATTGATAGTTTTAATAGTAATGACAGTCTAACAACTAAATAATGACGTCAAATACTGTTGGTTACCATAAGAAAACCGCGGTAAACTAGACCTTCATTGGAGTATTCCGTAACATAGAAATACACCAATCAGCGCCCTCCTAACATTATAGCAAACCATCAATCTACTTGTGGAAGCATCACATTCGTGCTTTCATTCTAAGTTAACAACTGATTTGTCATTTACTTTCACGACGGTTTTACATAGCATATAAATCATAACCCACATAAAGCCGTGTGTATGTATTTGTCGACGAATAGATCTAGCTCAAGCCATTCCATTAGAGCGCGTTCGTTCCATTAGAGAGCGGTCTTAGCGATTAGATGACAATGTCAGCGTAGACGTGTGATCACCTGACCAGTGCTGGATACACGATATAACGGCAATTACCGTTAGGTTTAGCGACTTTACGAACCGTTACGAAAGAATTTGCTCGTTCGAAAGTATGTTTAAAGTATAGCGGGAAAATACTTTACCGATTGGGAATGCCATAAAGAAATTTTAGTTACAAACTAAAAACAGAGCAATAGATAAACCAAGAATAGATTATTATTTATTATGACTGACGGTTTTTTGGTATTGCCGCAATGTAATCACGACAATACATGTAATTTGTGTGCCCATTATTTTCCCGATTATATAGGTGAGCAGCCATCTATTGATAGAAAATACCTATTTTAATTATATTTGATTCAATGAACTGTATAATATGTATTACTTTGATTTATTTCATTTGTTATGTATTTCGACAATTTTACCTTCTTGTTGTTCTTGTGCAGACAGAAAAAATACTGTCTAACAAAAATCACCATATACACACTGGTTTTAATCTCGTTGGTTGTAAGTAAATTACGGAACGTGTATTGGCAAGTTGAACTTCATTTAAAGTTTGTCAACTGGACTTATTTTATTCATCGATATTAGTTTAATAGAGCTCACAAAGAATTGTTCAATAATGGTTTGCATTAATTGGTTAGCAATAAACCCTATATACTGTTGATGACGTAGTAATAATTTGTTTAATTGCCTAGTGCAATATTTCAATTACCTTTGAGTTCCGACACGTAGACCAAGAAACAAAATGTTTACCCCGTGGAAATTTGCAATATGACATATGTATATCATGACGCAAGTAAACATCTATAAATTGGTATAAATAAAATGTAGTGTTTTCATGTATGACATGTTTTATTATTTAGAATTTACGGGTAAATGCTGCTATAATGTAAAGAACATAACACTCCACATTTTAGTTCATAATTTACATATAATGGGTATTAATCTACATATATGCAATATAACATATCGTTATGTTTCATTACTTATGGAATATGGGAAACTGAAAATCGTTAATAATGTTTCTGTCAAATACAATGCTATTTCATATGTGAATATATGACATTCATTCATGTCACTGATAACATGTCTTTCCGTATAGTAAAATATTTACTAAAATAGTTCTTCAAATCTATTTATATATATACATGGTCAAGTGAACGTGTTGAATACTTATAACCGACCCAGTCATGACATTTTACAATGTTTTGAATGGTTCATCTGAGACGTTGCACTAATTATCTGTCACGTTCGAAGTAAGGTCCAGTCTGAGACACATAACAAGACTGAGATTGGAAACAAATCTAAAGCAGAATAGTGTATAATCACGATGCAAAATGGGTTTCCATATAAAGAGAATGACATTGACAATAATTCATATAAAACTATTCGCGGGGTATACTAGCATGGTCACTTTCTGGTTCCTTTCGTTTAAATCCAAGAAGCGATACGGTACTCTTATCTCTTGAAATAGCTGACGCTGCCTCTCTTTCCATGGTCGATATCGGTTCTGACTTTACAAGTTCTTTCGTCGATGTCTCTGGTGGAGGTTTGTACACTATTAGAGATCCTATGATTGCAAGTACGGCTATGCCAGTACCTATTAATCCAACAGTTACAAATTTCAACCCGAACGTGTGGTTATCGTAGATCCAGCATGTTCCCGTATCGCCACATACCTCTTGCCACACCAGACAGGAACTGT